CTTTGCAAGTTGATAATAACAAAGTTATGCAACATGTGAGAGACAAAACCCATCTCTTGCAGTGGGCTGTCCCCCCTGCAACCTGGAATACAAAAATTCTTCTTGGTTGTTACAGTAGGGTAGAATGTAAGACCAATCAGAGGGAAGCAAAAGTTTGGAAGCATTACGTAGAATAGTTACCACAAGGTGTGTGTAATGCAGGGGCCTGTGAGATAAGGCCAACTGAAAAGGCCTAGCCACCTGCACTGACAAGGGCATGTATGCATTCTGCTAGGAAAACATATTGGATATGTGTAGTTCTTAACTAATGGCACTGTCAACCTGGAGAGAGTTAAAGATTAAAAAGGAATCTTTAATAACATATATATTGTGAAGAAAATACCAGTATATGACCCTAGATATGTAATTATCTCATGTAATTTTTATACTTTTTGCCATTAATGAGTGAACAGAGCAACATGAATATGAGTTTCCCCATCAGTGGAAAATCTGTGCTATGGGGTCCACAACCAGAATGACAGGTCTGCTGGCATCCTTCTTTCCATTCTTCTAAAGAATGTCACAGTTGCTCCTAGTTGGTCAGCTTTCATGCTCTCCATGGGAGGTACAAGCAACAGCATGCATGGACCTCAAGATGAAGAGGTTCAGATGCAAGTGTTGTCTTTATCTTGTAGGGTAGTGTATTCCATCATAGGTTCTATCCTGTCATGTATATCCAGAGGATTGTTTGTGATTTTAGGTAGGGATTTAAGGGGGCAGCATCCTCCCCAAGTGGGTCCTAGGGATTAGTTTCCCCTGCATTAGAGAACATAGGTTGTACAGATCAGTTTCCTTTATAATTCACACTGCATATCAGTCGCAGGTGCCATCTTGCTGTGAATACTTGGAGGATTCCCCTGCATTAGATATTATAGTGATCCTCATATTGTATATATGTTATACAGCACATTTTAATTTGCATATTACCCTGCAATTTCCTTGGTATCAGTCATGTCATCTGCAACTATCTGGGCCAAGATTGGGAGGTATAGGTAGTTTCCACTTTATAAGTCAATTTAGAGTTAAAAGCCATATTCTTTTGTTATATTGAAATGTTCACAATGTATTTCCTCTTTGTTAAATTTGTTAAAGAATTGATAGAACTAAACAGCTATTGATGATTTTAGTTGGTGAAAATGTGCATCAAAAATAGATACTAATGTCAATGGGAGAAATTGATAAACTTTTATTTGTGTTCTTTGTAGAATATTACAAGAAATTTGTAAGATATGGTTTACATATTTATTTTTTAGCTTTTGGCAAAAGATTCTCATAAATTTCTGCATTTTATATACTATTGTGGAAAGATTTTAGGTCATGTTAGGCAGTGACAATTATAGTCTTATATATGGAACATTTCAAAGGGTTGAAGGTATAAAAGCACAAAATATTAGGCCATAAACTCAAAATTTCAATTAAAATCATGACATATTGTAATCAGTGCTGTCACAAGTATATTTCATTTTTACCTAAATTATTCACTTATTTTAGTATATCATGTTACTCTGTTAAGGGGATGCACTTTATCGCATGGAGGGGGTAGCAGCTACTCCATCCCCAGTAAGATAACTTTATGAAATCATCTCTCTCTTTACTTTTTCCCTATTTTCATGCTTCTTTAGTCAACCACCAGAACATTTTAGTAGCTACAGGACTTTTTAATTTCTTAGCTTTCATTTTTTCTAAAGCCTCTGCATATTTACCAATTAAATATTTCAACCTTCCTCAAACAGATGGTATACTGCGTCCAAGCATATGTCACCTTATGACATCAAGCTCGACTGGGGGTGAAGCACAAGCTCAACCTAAGAACGATGTACAGGCTGACTCTTCACCAAAGACTGGAATCCTTATGTTGAACATGGGTGGACCACAGACCACAGATGAAGTTCACGAGTTTTTGCTTCGACTGTTCAAGGATCGTGACATTATTCAGCTGCCATTCCAAGAGTAAGTGCAAGAATTACTTGGTATTTTTACTTTATTTTCCCCTTCTGTGCTCCATAATGTTCATTTCACAGTTTGGGAATTATATTATATGATTTTAACTTTTATTTAGCATGGTGAGCTTTTGGTATTACTCAAAAGACAATTTGTTTTAAAAATGAGTATATTCTGGTAGAATTGAGCATGACTGAAAGAGGGATGTATATTCTCCAGCAAACACTTAGTGTCTTTGTAATTTTATCTTTATGATAAACTCTTAGCTTCAGGACCTTGATATTCTTTTATTTGATCCTGACTAAGAAAATAGGTTTGTGTATAAAATCAGTAGTGATTTTCCATATTAAGATTACATTGTAGGTTCTCATTCTTGAATCATTAACTCAGGAAACATTTTCCTTTATTATTCTGAATGCAAGTATATCACTTGCTATGTAAAAATGAAGAAATTGAATAAAAATTATTTTTCATGTTATTGATTTCCAAACCCTAATAGTCCAGATAAGGAAAAACTTTTGAAGCCTTTATATCAGAGTGACTTTTGCCATGTATCTTCCAGTTACATGGGACCATGGATTGCAAAGAGAAGAACACCTGATATCCAGAAAAAGTATGAGGAGATTGGTGGTGGATCTCCAATCTTTAAATGGACTGATCTGCAGGTAGGTATTTAAAAAAGAAAATGGTGGGATTTTGTTTTTATTTGAATTGATTGCAATGAAATTGGGAAGTGAAAAATCAGTTAATGTAAACTAATAATGAAATGTAACTTGCAAGAGGATTGAAATAAATAGGTCCATTTAAGAAGATTAAAAAACCCAACTTTATTACATAATGAAAAGTTTTACACAAATGATTAAATTACTTAATAGTTTGTAATGATAACAATCAGTGTAATAAAGCATCTTGCATTGAGAACATAACCCTTGATATTTTAATTACAGGGGAGACTACTCTGTGAACGCCTCGATGAACTGCATCCCGAGTCTGCGCCTCATAAGCATTATGTTGGTTTCCGCTATGCTAACCCTTTGACTGAAGATACCTTGGAAAAGATGGAGGAGTGAGTTCCAAACTTTCCTGATCATTGTCCATTCATTTCCCTTTATTTTGCGGCTTTGAAACTTGGTCTTTCATAGATATACACACATCATTAATGTGTCAGTAGTCTGGCCCTACTGATCACATCTTGAAATGAACAGAAATTGAATATATGTGTAGTTTTATGTATACTCAGCAATTACAGATAACATAAAAAATAGCTTGTTGCACAAAAAAAAATATCTGCAAACCAAAATTTTAAATATATATATATATATATATATATATATATATATATATATATATATATATATATATATATATATATATATATATATATAATATATATATATATATATATATATATATATATATATATATATATATATATATATATATATATATATATATATATATATATATATACATATATATACATTTATATATATATTTCTAGCAATTAATATCCTGTGGATTCTCTCTTTCAAAGGAACACTGAAAATCTATAAACTGTAAGAAATTAACTGAAAGATGACATTAAATTTCATTGCAAAACAGGGATGGAGTTGAGAACTGCATTGCCTTCTCTCAGTACCCACAGTACAGCTGCAGTACGACAGGCTCCAGCATGAACGCCATCCATAAATTCTATGCTAACAGGTACAGTGTCATTTTGTAATGGTTACATACTTAGGCCTGCTTAAGTAGGCCTTTCGAATTTTTGTTACTATTATTATTTAACCCAATCAGCAAGAAAGGCAAAAATGTATGCCATTCCTACTGTAATATAAGTTCATTTATTGTTTTTGCATATGGTGTCTCTACAAGTGCTTAGTCACCAAAGTGTCGGTTATTAGTCCTATCTCTCTCACCTTTTTTACCCATTTCCTTGATTTTTGGAAATTGTTTTTTTTGTTTATTTCATTGTCTTGAATATTACCAAGATTTTAATAACAGTTGAATATTAATAATGTCAATAAAAATAATACAGTATTGACATCAATGGTATTTGGAAAAAAAAAATAAAGATCCTGCCAATTCAAGGAATGGGAAAATCAGAATCAGTCACTAGGGCATACTGCTAGACTCCTTGCTGGCTGAGCACATGTGGAGCCACCTGTAACAAAATTCACAAATACATACATATACATACATATACATACATATACATACATATACATACATATACATACATATACATACATATACATACATATACATACATATACATACATATACATACATATACATACATATACATACATATACATACATATACATACATATACATACATATACATACATATACATACATATACATACATATACATACATATACATACATATACATACATATACATACATATACATACATATACATACATATACATACATATACATACATATACATACATATACATACATATACATACATATACATACATATACATACATATACATACATATACATACATATACATACATATACATACATATACATACATATACATACATATACATACATATACATACATATACATACATATACATACATATACATACATATACATACATATACATACATATACATACATATACATACATATACATACATATACATACATATACATACATATACATACATATACATACATATACATACATATACATACATATACATACATATACATACATATACATACATATACATACATATACATACATATACATACATATACATACATATACATACATATACATACATATACATACATATACATACATATACATACATATACATACATATACATACATATACATACATATACATACATATACATACATATACATACATATACATACATATACATACATATACATACATATACATACATATACATACATATACATACATATACATACATATACATACATATACATACATATACATACATATACATACATATACATACATATACATACATATACATACATATACATACATATACATACATATACATACATATACATACATATACATACATATACATACATATACATACATATACATACATATACATACATATACATACATATACATACATATACATACATATACATACATATACATACATATACATACATATACATACATATACATACATATACATACATATACATACATATACATACATATACATACATATACATACATATACATACATATACATACATATACATACATATACATACATATACATACATATACATACATATACATACATATACATACATATACATACATATACATACATATACATACATATACATACATATACATACATATACATACATATACATACATATACATACATATACATACATATACATACATATACATACATATACATACATATACATACATATACATACATATACATACATATACATACATATACATACATATACATACATATACATACATATACATACATATACATACATATACATACATATACATACATATACATACATATACATACATATACATACATATACATACATATACATACATATACATACATATACATACATATACATACATATACATACATATACATACATATACATACATATACATACATATACATACATATACATACATATACATACATATACATACATATACATACATATACATACATATACATACATATACATACATATACATACATATACATACATATACATACATATACATACATATACATACATATACATACATATACATACATATACATACATATACATACATATACATACATATACATACATATACATACATATACATACATATACATACATATACATACATATACATACATATACATACATATACATTACATATACATACATATACATACATATACATACATATACATACATATATACCCCCCCCCCCCCCCACATACACACCAAACATGTATATATACATATATTTATAAATTTATAAATGTAAGTTTTTGTATTTTGTGTGTATTATATTTTTTAATTTTATGTATTGGAACACATAGTGTAAACACTGAGAGGTACAAGAGTAAAATATATAGCTTCAGTTTAATTTTGCTTTGATTTTATAGCCAGGTATTATACATTAATATACGCATCACTTTGAAAACATTGTCAAATTTACATCTTTACTTTTTTGTGGTATGCAGCAAAGTTATGTACAAAAAAACACCAAAGAAATGAACAAGAGATCAGATTAAATTGAAATTTTACTTGATATAGGATAGTCACTTGCATAAACTGTGATAGTTAAACCACCACGGCCCACTTAAAAAAAAAAAAAAAAAAAAAAAAAAAAAAAAAAAAAAAAAAAAAAAAAAAAAAAAAAAAAAAAAAAAAAAAAAAAAAAAAAAAAAAAAAAAAAAAAAAAAAAAAAAAAAAAAAAAAAAAAAAAAAAAAAAAAAAAAAAAAAAAAAAAAAAAAAAAAAAAAAAAAAAAAAAAAAAAAAAAAAAAAAAAAAAAAAAAAAAAAAAAAAAAAAAAAAAAAAAAAAAAAAAAAAAAAAAAAAAAAAAAAAAAAAAAAAAAAAAAAAAAAAAAAAAAAAAAAAAAAAAAAAAAAAAAAAAAAAAAAAAAAAAAAAAAAAAAAAAAAAAAAAAAAAAAAAAAAAAAAAAAAAAAAAAAAAAAAAAAAAAAAAAAAAAAAAAAAAAAAAAAAAAAAAAAAAAAAAAAAAAAAAAAAAAAAAAAAAAAAAAAAAAAAAAAAAAAAAAAAAAAAAAAAAAAAAAAAAAAAAAAAAAAAAAAAAAAAAAAAAAAAAAAAAAAAAAAAAAAAAAAAAAAAAAAAAAAAAAAAAAAAAAAAAAAAAAAAAAAAAAAAAAAAAAAAAAAAAAAAAAAAAAAAAAAAAAAAAAAAAAAAAAAAAAAAAAAAAAAAAAAAAAAAAAAAAAAAAAAAAAAAAAAAAAAAAAAAAAAAAAAAAAAAAAAAAAAAAAAAAAAAAAAAAAAAAAAAAAAAAAAAAAAAAAAAAAAAAAAAAAAAAAAAAAAAAAAAAAAAAAAAAAAAAAAAAAAAAAAAAAAAAAAAAAAAAAAAAAAAAAAAAAAAAAAAAAAAAAAAAAAAAAAAAAAAAAAAAAAAAAAAAAAAAAAAAAAAAAAAAAAAAAAAAAAAAAAAAAAAAAAAAAAAAAAAAAAAAAAAAAAAAAAAAAAAAAAAAAAAAAAAAAAAAAAAAAAAAAAAAAAAAAAAAAAAAAAAAAAAAAAAAAAAAAAAAAAAAAAAAAAAAAAAAAAAAAAAAAAAAAAAAAAAAAAAAAAAAAAAAAAAAAAAAAAAAAAAAAAAAAAAAAAAAAAAAAAAAAAAAAAAAAAAAAAAAAAAAAAAAAAAAAAAAAAAAAAAAAAAAAAAAAAAAAAAAAAAAAAAAAAAAAAAAAAAAAAAAAAAAAAAAAAAAAAAAAAAAAAAAAAAAAAAAAAAAAAAAAAAAAAAAAAAAAAAAAAAAAAAAAAAAAAAAAAAAAAAAAAAAAAAAAAAAAAAAAAAAAAAAAAAAAAAAAAAAAAAAAAAAAAAAAAAAAAAAAAAAAAAAAAAAAAAAAAAAAAAAAAAAAAAAAAAAAAAAAAAAAAAAAAAAAAAAAAAAAAAAAAAAAAAAAAAAAAAAAAAAAAAAAAAAAAAAAAAAAAAAAAAAAAAAAAAAAAAAAAAAAAAAAAAAAAAAAAAAAAAAAAAAAAAAAAAAAAAAAAAAAAAAAAAAAAAAAAAAAAAAAAAAAAAAAAAAAAAAAAAAAAAAAAAAAAAAAAAAAAAAAAAAAAAAAAAAAAAAAAAAAAAAAAAAAAAAAAAAAAAAAAAAAAAAAAAAAAAAAAAAAAAAAAAAAAAAAAAAAAAAAAAAAAAAAAAAAAAAAAAAAAAAAAAAAAAAAAAAAAAAAAAAAAAAAAAAAAAAAAAAAAAAAAAAAAAAAAAAAAAAAAAAAAAAAAAAAAAAAAAAAAAAAAAAAAAAAAAAAAAAAAAAAAAAAAAAAAAAAAAAAAAAAAAAAAAAAAAAAAAAAAAAAAAAAAAAAAAAAAAAAAAAAAAAAAAAAAAAAAAATCTAATAAGTAAATAAATAAATTAATCTCTAATGTAGAATTAGTGTGTAGTTGAACTGAAACTGTATCACTTATTCTGATATAAGGTTATAAGGTAGTGACAATATTGAGATTGCCCTTTGTGCTAAATTTACTTCCATTACAGATCTGTGGAGTCAGGAATGAAGTGGAGCGTCATTGATCGATGGTGTACAAACCCCTTCCTTGCAAAGTGTTTTGCTGACAATATCAGAAAGGAATTGGAGCAGTTCCCTGAGGAAAAGAGAAAAGATGTTTTCATCCTTTTCTCTGCACATTCCTTGCCAATGAGGGTAGGTCTTTAGATCTTTAGAGTTTTTGTTATTTTCTTAAGTATTCTTATTATTGTTATAACTGCTGTTAGTATCATAGTGACTAGCATTATAGTCCTGCCTTGAAGTGCCTTGAAAAATATTACTCAGATTTAAGTCTCCCTACTGAAAGAAAACTTCCTATTTTCAATGATGAACAAGTGGTAGAAGCTGCATCTGATAGTTATAGTTATTATTTTACCCATTTTGTAATAACCTTGAAAAATTAGTTCTAAATGTTGTTTCTATGCTCTATGAGATTAGGGTCACTTTGGACATTTTTGGTAATAAATGTTTACTTTAAATTTTAACAGCAAGTTGGGCGTGGTGATCCTTATTCTGCTGAGGTTGGTGCTACAGTACAGCTTGTTATGCAAGAACTTGGATTTACAAATCCATACCGTTTAGTATGGCAAAGTAAGGTTGGTCCCCTTCCATGGCTGACTCCAGCTACAGATGATGCAATTAAAGGTGTGTGTGATTGAAAGCTCCATCACTTGTGTAAATCATAGGACAAAAGAAAAAAATAAAAAATCTATTAAGTAAATAAATAAATGGAATACTAAGTCATCTTAATCCTTATTGTATTAGAATACAATTGTTATGTTCTTTTATTGTGTTGATAATCAATATTTACAGTAATATTTCTTATTTAGGTCTTGTGCAGAGAGGAAGGAAGAACATGATCTTAGTCCCAATAGCATTCACGAATGAGCACATAGAAACTCTGCATGAGATGGATATTGAGTATGCTGAAGATCTTGGAAAAGAGGTATGTTGTGTGGCTTTTATGATATTAACAGCTTATAATATGTTCTGTAGAATTCTCATATTTTATGAATGAAGTCTAGAGTACTTATTTTACACCCCAGAAAATTATTTTCTTCTGATGAAAATCCAAATGTGGTCACCATAGCAACAGAATTAAGAGCATTGACTCAGATCATTAATGCTATTTAAGGGTGTGATAAAGATATATTAGAGCCATAAATATTTTCCCTTATACAGGTTGGAGCGGAGTGCATACGCCGATGTGCATCACCCAATGACCATCCCTTCTTCATTGATGCCCTTGTAGACGTGGTCAGCAAGCATCTTCAGGAAGGTCACAGGTGCTCGGAACAGTTCCTCCACAACTGTCCTTTGTGTGTGAACCCTTCGTGCTATGCCTCCAAGAAATGGTTTAGATATACCACCAAAAAGTTTTAATAATAAAAAGAGAAGAATTTCAGATAGAGAATTGGCATACTAAAAGGTTAATGTAAAATATGTAGAAAAAATATAGATGAGGTGGATTATTGGTGTTACGTATTATATTTGGCAAACTTTTTACTCGAATTGACTCTGGTTTGTTGGAATATCTTTTTTATTATATTTAAAAATCAGATATGTAATTACTTATTTCATACCTCATATAGAAGTAGAGAGAAAGATAATACAATTATTAGACAAAATGCCACAAGTGAAGATTGTGCAAATATGAATTAACTTATGAATTGCCAGTGAATGTAAATTGTCCACAAATTTCCATGTGAAATACATTTTAAAAATTATTTATATTGAAAATATGCCTTTATATAACTACAATTCAGGTTTATTGTTATGCAAATATTCCCAGGCATTGAGAAAATGCACATGCCCAATATTTATTTACAGTATCTTCATTATGTGATAAAACTCTTTTAGACCAAAAACAAAAATGTTAAGTCATAGGCCCTAATACAGATATGTCAGGAGGCTAAGTGGTTTAATGATGTTTGTAGTAAGCTGAATGGTACCTAAGCAGAGGCATATTACTACTTAATATGATATTGTTCATTTTTCTGTCTTGAATTATGACCTGAGAAATTATGTGTTGGTACTGGTTGTTCTTCATTTTTCAATTTATGTTTAGTTTGAATACTGTGGTTATGGGGTTTAAGGCCTTTAATGTTTCATTGTAGCTATCACTGTGTTATTTAATTGTGTAACATCATTCCAATATCATTCACTTGTGTTGGGTCTTCTTTCTTTATTGGCCTACTTCACCCTTTTGTGTAGTAATGAGCACAAAAACTTAATGTAAATATGAGTATAATAATGATTTTTTTTTCCTGCAAATCTTCTTTGCTTCTGCCAGTTAAAGCCACAGAACAAAGAATTCAGACTTTGACACCAGTTATAGAGAAAAGGAGGTGAATGTGAAGGACTGCAGGCTCTTCTTGATATCTCCCAAATTGTAGCTTCCAGTATTATGAGCATCTATTGTTGCACAGTAACCCACTGGCTCCGGGTGACATGACCATCACGTCATGAAAAATTCTGGCTGAGGGCCAGGTTGTGAGAATGCACCTTCAAGAAAAATTTGACTGTGGGTCACGGTGACAGGAATGACTCATGGTGAGTGCACAAAGATCTTGGAAAATGATTAGACTGTGGGCATATAAGAAGCAGCTCTTGCATTATTTCCACCAGTAAACAAGGTAGAATGTACCATTTGTGAACCATAGCTGAAAGAGTACAGGCCATTAACAGGATCTTCTTCCTGGCCACCATGGCCAGCAGTGCAGGGTGTGACAAAGAAAATTGAATACAAAAATATTTTTAAATGACACAAATGAACTTAGCTATTGTATTGTTATTGCAGAGTTGTAGACTACCAAGAGATAATTTGGAGTCTGATCAAGGAAAATAGTCATTACTATCTTGATTCACCATAATAATGAATAATATAGATCATAGAAAATGGTCAAACAGAAAAACCTGCAGAAGAGTACATAATATCATTACAAAAAGGAGGCAAGGAATCTTGATACCAGACATGAGTGTTCATGTTGGCTGGGCCTACAAGCCACACACCCAGGAGAATCACCATTCAAGTAAGCATATTGCCCAGATTTTGGTCCATGTGCAGGCCACTAAGCACCCGGATCTAATGGGTTAGGAAAATGTAAGAAAATATATATTTGTTATTTAAAAATGAATTTTTGTTTCGTTTAACCTTTACGTAAGAGTATGTAATTGACAGCTTAACCCAATGGCGATAGGTATGACGTGCATGTACATTTTATGCCCACTGTGAGTACTTGTTTGATTGTTTTTACACATAGATGGCTACACTTGTACCAAGTCACCAATGAGCCAGTTACGAGTACTGCTTGTCTTGACCATTTACCCTTTTCTTTCATTTACAAAATGTTTTACGTTATCTTATTTTGCTGTTACTAATGTTAAAAAACATTTTAATAATATGCTTATAATAAAAATAGCACCATCGATATTCACAGCACTAATAAAAAATACGTTTTTCCTGCCATTTCAAATCAGGTACGGTCTCAAGGTCTACTAATTGACTTCTTTGTAGCTAAGCACTAGCAGAGCCATCTATGGGAAGACATTTCACAAAAAATATAGAAAATAGGCACAGCATTTTCCCCGGTGGCTTTGGGTTAACTTATTTTTAAACAGGTGTCCATACAAATCATGACAATAGTAAATTCAGTTATCCCTTGGGCCTCTACCAATTTTGCACTGTTATTTCTTCTTGTTCTTTCATTTTCCTTCTCTTATATATAATCTTATTTCTAATGTGTGAGAGCCATGTTGAAAGGATGAAAGGGTAGCTTTGGTTCAGTCTAGAATGGCCTCAGGGAGCCATGGGCATGGAATTCCTTGAGAGATGAACGGTTTCTTTTTCCCACATATTTCAGGCTCACCATGGCCAATAATGAAGATTTTGTACCTTTATTAGGGGGCATTGAAGGTTGCCCACTTCCTAACTAGCTTCCCTGATGTTGACTAGCTCTCCTTTGATCCCAGCTCTGACCACTGTTGTTACTATCCCCTCCTTGATGCTTGCTTTCAATTTGCTCCATTCTGAGTTATCCACCTAGGTCATTACTTGACTGTGAGAATTCATACCTTCCACTCTCCCAATGTGCTCCTCCTTCCGTATTACTATTTATCCTTATTGTCCTCCTCCCCACAGTACTACCACATTCCATGCCACTTCTTCCTGTCTTCATCCTTTTACTACTACCACCACTGCACATCTTTTGGGTATTCCTTCTGTCCCAGCCAAGTAGGATAAATTTGTGATTTTTTCTAGTCTCTTAATCTATCTCAGTCATTCTCACCTTGTCAAAGTTTTATCCATGTACCAAGCTCATGCATTATCTATCTTGACTGACCTTCCTAGCACTTATTTCATCTATCAGTAGCTTTAGGTTTTGCAGTGGTCCTCCCTTAGGGAGTCCAGGAGAGGATATTATTTTTTATTTCTATTATTTACTTTTCCTTTAACTCAATGCCGACGGGTATGACGTGTACGTACGTGCTATGCCCACTGAGTACTTGTTTGATTGTTTTTACACATAGATGGCTACACTTGTACTAACTCCCCAATGAGCCAGTGACGAGTACTGCCCGTCTTGCCTGTTTACCCTTTTCTTTGATTTACGAAATATTTAACGTGATCTTATTTTGCTGTTGCTAATGTTAAAAAACAATATAATAATTATGTTTATGATAAAAATAAAACCACTAATTTTCATAGCACTAGTGAAAAATACGTTTTTCCCGCCATTTCAAATCAGGCGCTAGCAGAGCCATCTATTGGCAGACATTTCACGAAAAACATAGAAAATAGGCACAGCATTTCCCCCATTTTTTTTTTCATATTCCCCAGCAGCATTGAGTTAAAGCAAACAACTAAGATACCTGGAGACTCTACTGGTAACAGAGCCAATATTTTCTCCCAGTGGTTTACTTTGCATTTCACAGACTTATGCAATAAGAAATCATATAAAATATCTCCTATAATCAAGGGGACGGATCAATAGGTGAGATAGTTGGGACTAGTGATTAACTCAATGGTGACTAAGCACTTGTGGAACCATCTGTGTAAAAATATAATTAATGAGCTACACTCCCTATGGGTATGGAAGTAAGTACATGCCATCCCAGGTGGCTTTAGGCCTTAAGTTTGCCTTAGGAAATGAATCTGCAGTTGTTCTTATTTAATTTAATTACTTACACCTGTGTCTTTTGGAAATGAAAAAGAAATGCATAGTTTATGTCTTTAATGTATAAACAATGGTATAAAAAATGAAATTGCATTTTGAAAAGATATCTATACAATGTAGTCTTAGAATCAAGAAATATGATATTTGGATGATACAATGAAAATAGATAAATTTGTTTGATCAAAGGCAAAAAATATTAGACCTAGTTTATCTGTCACAAAGATTACAAAAACATGAGCCTTTGTAGTGACTACAAATACACAATATTTGTTATCAAACAAGTTTCCTATATTTGCCTATCTGGCTTATATTACTCTATATTACTCCAAGCATTTCCTTCATATCTTGGATTATGTCCCTTGAAGCTGCTGTATATCTCCTGAAACAAGAAAATAATAATAATAATTATTATTATCATATTTTTCTGTAATACTATGCAATAAAGCATTACAGTGTAGGTATAACCATGCAGAGCAATTATTGCACATGAAATATATTTCACTATTCTGAAAAATAAATAAATATATAAAGTAAAATAAATAAATGGAAAGAGAGGGAGATTGAAAAAGCATATGAATGGTAAATTTAAAACTTCTACTGACTTGACCACTCAAATCTTCATTGTAAGGATAAAAGTCATAAAAACTGACATAGCCTAGACAAAATAAAACACTATCAATAAGTAACTGCAACTCACTCATACAGTCCATAGGATGGCTTTTTATCACCATCTTCTTCTTCCTCAAGGCAAGTAGGGAAAACAATTCTAGACATCACAGAATCAATTCCAGCCACTGCTTGCTTGAGACTCGATGGGGAAATCTTGCCACTGTCTCTTATCAAGATCTTGAGCAAATATGCACAGGCCAGAAGTGATGTTATGTCCTGCAGAGAAAAAAGGTGCGTTCTGTGTAAGAAAAAGGAACCCATCTTTTTCTGTTTTTTTTCAAACTTGGAAAGGCAATAAATAATCCAGGGATTCTTTAAAATGGTAAGAGATATATTGTACTGCACCCTGAAACCTAAACCCAAACCCCCACTCCCACCCACACAAATGAATGTATGTATGTATGCTTTTCATCGCTTCCTCTCCCACAAGGGAAATTTAAAATGTTAAAAAATAAACAAAAATGGCCTGCTTCTTTGTCTCGGTATAATTTTGCTCCTTTTGTCTGTTCTAGCTGAATTTCTGACAATTTTAAATCTAATTATACATTGGGAAAGACTATGAAATTGTACTCTTTTTTTCCTGAATACTTTTATGTAATTATTTTTATTTTATTTATTTGTAAAAATCTCATTCTGAAGTTTTTATCTGGAATTAACAAAACTTTTAATGGTCAAACAATTTCCTTGGCATTTTCTTCAAGCACATGTAATTTCTTTTTTTGTTAACCTTACATAAAATATTAATAAACTGGATCTTGGTTTTGTGACTGTCATAAAAAAATCAGCAAAGGAAATGACTTAATCGAGGGTGGAATGCATCCTCCAAACAGGCTCTCCTCCTTCCTGATTTTCTGACACAGCTCCTGGCTCAAGGTCCAAGAATTCCAATCACAGAACAGACACCACACTCCAGACACACTTCATCCGAGCAGCAGTTTCACAGGACAGCCCTACCCTACGCTGACCTGGGATTCTCCACTTCACCTGCAGTACCCAGCCATCATAGTGGGCACTCACACCAACACTTAATTACTCCTCAAGGAGATAAACCAGCAGTCATGCAATCCTATCTACTATTGTCTTATTCCTGCCAGCCGACAAGCAGGAATTAAAGAAAATAGAAAAATGACAAATAACATAATTGTTATTGCTAATGCACAGAGTTGTAGACTTCCTAGAGAGATAATATGGAGTTTGCTTAATGTAAACAGTTTACTACCATACTGATATAGCATAATAAATGACAAATATAGACCTTAGGAAGGGGGGGTGGAAGCAGTAATAATAGCATTGCAAAGGGGTGGCAATGAGATAAGCAGATCCTAAAATTAAAAAGTATTTGAGATTATCCCCTATCCGCACACGGGTGCTTTTATAAAATTTCCACTGCTTTGTTATTTTGTGAAGCCTGACCAAAGAAATCTTCATATATATATATATATATGTATAGGTTACATGGAAATAAATACATATCTATCTAGGGGAGAAAAAGGTGCTTTTATAACCTATGACCCCTCAACTAAAAGTGCACTTCTCATTCTGGTATCCATGACTCACATAAAAAGAAAAACTTACTTGTACAGATGAGTTCAGCTTCATAAAGGAAGTCATAAAGGCTGCCGAAAGTTTTGCTCGGCTCTGACACACTCCAACTGTTAAGGCAACAAATCCACCAACTTCTTTGACCGAGTTCACATCAGTGTCCACACCTTTCACCTGGGTAAACAAATGGCAAAATATTATAAAAAGATAATATATAATACACACACTGCTTGGTCTGCCGGTACAGCTATATGCATGGAGTGGGAAGTTCCGCTACATGTAGTGGACTCCCACGTCCAGTGTCTGGACATTGCCAGAATCACCAGTTTGTGAGGCTGAGAGATTTCTGATACCCGGCCCCATTGGGCTAAGGAAGATCAGATAGTGAGGTAATTTCTACTAAATTATATTTCCAGATACAGGAGTCACACTCACCTTATCAATATGCCAGCCGAGATGGTCTATCACAGACGATACCAGATATTTCATCACACATGAATTGGAAGAATCACCAAAAGATGTCAATACCAGGGCCAGCATGTTTGCAAGGTCTCCATCCTGTGAAATATACTTAATTAACCTCCATGCCTGTAAAAATGCTTCTGGCATCCCCTACCAGGGAAAGGAATGATGAGATTATATTTTTTAACCCAATCACAACTGTGCAATATGAAATAATACATCAGGGTACATGCATTGGAAACCTAAAATTGCCCTACCCTCTCACCCTCGGTTATAGCATGAAATATTTTAAATTTAATGAGGTTAAAAAAGGGGTTTTAATCATCCTTGCTTTAGATAGTGACTCAAACCTTTATTCTACTTTTTAAATTTGGTAGTTGCAAGACCACTACGAAAATGAGTGTCAGGAGGCTGGGTAGGAAAAGGATAAATATAATTTGATATCTTTATGAAGTTTATCAGACAGCTATAGCAGTATATGCCACAGCATCATAAATTATACCTATACTCCAATATGTCATATCGTTATCATAGTTTAAATCCATTCACCTTATGGATACCTCTGTTCTTTCACTCACAGAATGATTCAGCAATCACTGGTTTCTTGCATTTATGTTAAGGATACCAGCTTCAGCACTATACTGCATAACAAAATAATCTATACTCTCAAATTAACCAAAAACAGAAAGTATACTGTATGTATATATTGTACATATTTCTACATTTATCCTCCTAAACACTGGATATCTACATCTGCTAATCCTTTTAAAATATGACTTTCCCCATATTCTGTGTACATATCAGAAACCCTCAAAGTCTTTAATGAAAGAGTATTTTTGTTATAACCCACAAACCTATACAAGAGCTTTAACTAGGGGAAGATGCCATTCATTTCATGCTAAATCATACCTGAGGCAATTTTTCTTGTTGTTTGCAGAAATCTGATACTGAAGACAAACAAGTATTTATCAGCTGTTCTGGACTGACCCCTCCAAACTCTTCAAGGTCATCACCAGGGGTCCCGTACACTGCTAGGAACTCGTATGCTTCTTGGGCCAAGACCAGACTTTTCTGCCAAAACTTGTCTGAGGCATCTGCAAGGAAAATATTATCAAAATATAACATGCAATATTTTGATTCCCTTTTTATTAGGAAATAATCAAGCATTTACTATTGTACATAAAGATATTTTGTATCTTGTAATGCAAACTAAAGACCAACAACTTTGCAAAGACTTTTTCTCTCTCTCAGACTTAGGAACAGACAGATACTTACCAGTTTTCAAAAGTTCTTCAGCAAATCCACAGGCTTTATAAGCAAAGGAAGGACCTCCAGCTCCCACAATGAGTAAATTGGTGATGCAAGTAACAAGGTCACTCAAGGCACTTACAGCAAGCACTGGAGCATCATCTCCTGCTCTTATTTTTCTCTTCCCACTCTGCTCCTCCCCTAATGTCGGTATCAAGACCCTGAAAGAGTTAATTATAGGAAAAAAGAGTTAAAAAAAAAAACTCACTATTATACACAGCATTTCAAAGCAGCAATTCCTAAAACTAGTGATAAAAAAGATTGGGGAGAAAAAGTTACCTAATACACCCAATAATGTAAATAACACAAACCTTCTGCACCAATCTATGCAGGTAACCACAGTGGCAGTGCCATCATAAACATCATCCACTGGAATCTCTTTATCAGATCTTGCTCCCCTCTTCTTCTCACGAGGTTCTTCAGATATCTGAGGTGGGTTATGAAGAACAGCAACCAGACTCAAGTATTGAGCCCAACACTCACATAGGAATCTGTCAGAGCAAAGTTCTGAGAGCTCTTCTGTTTGGTTCAAACGATCACTTAAAAGACCCTGAAAAAGTGGTTCATTTTGTCAATATATATATGTGGGTAAGAGTTATACTTGTTATGTACATTCCATGATTAATCTACACAATAACTGCAGAAATTTCTCATTTGTACTACTGTACTAAATGTGAGTAACTAAATTACTAAGATCATGCAAATTATTACTAATAATGAAATAGTAACAACTGTAATTTTAAGTTTAAACAAAAATAAAAACTAGAGAACAAAAAATTGTCTTTATTGCAGTCACTATACCTTCACTTCAGCCATGTTCTCTGACATTTGTACTAAAAGATGTCTGTTTCTCCCAAGGGCAGCAAGTTTATTTAATGGATGCTGTAAGATATGACTAACAAGACGCAGAGCCAACAAAGGTTGTGGTGAAAGTGCCTCTTGGAACCGCACACCTTTGCTGCTTTTCCTGCGTTCCTGTTGGCAATTACAGAAGAATTAATATTTTCTCTTCTTTGTTTTTCTCTTACTTAAACTTCAGTTTCTCAGTCCCTACAAGAACATATCACTAAAAATATAAGAAGACAACTCAATCACTTCACAATATATTAACCTCTTGGATCCTTATGACATGACCATCACATCATGAAAATAATTGGGTTGAGGGGTTGAAGTTACCATCACGTTATGGAGAAATTTGGCTGAGGGGTGGGTGACAGGAACATCCCATCATGGGAAATGGATTTTTTTTTATGAGAGAGAGAAGACTAGGAAGAGACTGAGGGAGCAAGAAAGAGAGAGAGAGAGAGAGAGAGACAAGAGATGAATGGGAAGACAGACAAACTTTTCAATGTCATATTTTTCAGCAGGTAAAGGCCTGTGGTGATGTAGACTGTCACAACACAAAGACAGCATGTTGTGCCTTCAACAGTATTACAATAGGCCTGATGCAATGTTGTTGACAACTCACAATAGCAAGATGGTCAAAATCTCAGACCAACATGGTCATCAGAGACTGAAACCTCATGTGGTTGTTGAGTACAATATTTTGATGATGGGGGTTGGACATTTGTGACCAGCTGGCTCAGTCATACCCAACCTCTTGCAAGTCCATCAACTGAACTACTAAGTACTTTACAAATTGATTGAGATGGCAGGTGACAATTCTTAGTGTACAAAGTACTAGGAGGGACACGGACTCAGCGTGCAGGATTTGCACCATTACACAAGGGTGGAAAGTACCATTCATGAGCCATGCCTGGGAGAGGCCCATCTCTGGGGAGGACACCATGGCCATACATTATGTGTGGGTATTATAAAGTGACCTTATGCCAATATGATTGTTTTAAAGTATACAGCACAGAAGATGATGCATAAAATAAATAAATAAATATATATGAGAATAATATATTTCTTTATCATTCATCAGAATGATACTTCTGGTATTGAAAAGAATGTAAACTACTTGGACACATAGTATGAAATGCGATCAACTAAAACAGTTTGTTATTGTTTTGATATAGCATAGGATATATAACATGGAGTCTTTTCAACAAAAACAGTATATTACCAGGATAATAAAGCAAAACAAATGACAAATGTAGACTCCAGAAAATAGCAAAAATGCATTTGCATGTTCTTTAATACTATGCCATCTAAGCTACCTAGACATAATATAAAGTGTAAACAATGAAAAGAATCTAAAAAGAATCTTACTCTTTTGCTTTAGTATAAACAAATAATATATTTTTTAATAATTGAATAATATGAAAATAAAGAAAAGATAACACTAATAACACAATATTATCCATTTTGCACAGAGGATAAACTACTTGCAAAGATATGTAGTCTGTTTAATGAAAACAGTCTATTGTTAGCATGATACAGGATAACAAATTACAAATATAGATCTTGTAAAATGACAATCTAGCAAAAACACAACAGAAAAAAAGTGGCTAATAGCAGAGGCAAGCACACTCAATACCAGGCAAGTATTCGTGTGGCCTTGGCATACTAGCCACACACCCAGGGGAGTCGCTGCCGTAGTTGGCCTAAAGTTTGTATTTTGGTCTGCACACAGGCCAAAAAGCACATGGCTCCAAGGGGTTAATAATAAAAATGGTGATAATTACATGAATGAAATACCTGCAAAATAAGCATGGAAACAAAAGAAAAAATATGCTAAGTAACTGGAAGAGATAAAAGCAAGAGGAATGAGATGAAAAGTGGGGAAAGCTACAGTAAGCACCAAAGGGAAAGTTAAAGAATTTTTGGAAGCTGAGAATGAGAGCCACCCCTAATGGTGTTGGTTCACAGTCAAGATATTTAGAAATCTAAAGAGTGGGTTACAAAAGTAGCATTAAGCTTCGGCAAAAAGCTGAGCTACTTGGGAGTGCAGAAAATGCAAAGAAGTCCCTGAGGCCTAAAGCAGTGAACAACTATTAAACCAAAATATTGTAAGCAATAACTAGCAACTGGACTACTTTGGACATGGGAAGAAATGGAGGCAGATTTACAAATTTATTTATAATAATGACTATAACCAATAAAACAAATTATTTTTCTAAAATATCAATATATCAATATGTGGTAGGCACTAAGGTTTGGGGGAGGAAGCAAGACTAAAAGAAAGAAAGAAAGAAAGAAAGAAAGAAGAAAGAAAAGAAAAAAGCAAGAGGATGCCTTGTGGATGAGGAGGGAGAGTGAGAGGAAACTAAATTTTATGCAGAGTGTAACCAACAGATGGTAAATAGATGAAGTGAAGCAGGCCTAGTATCTGACTTATTTGTACCTTTTCATTACAGGAGCCTTCTATATATGCATTAAAAAATAATAATCATTAAAACAAATATTAACCAAGAGATAAAACAAAAACATAATACATGGTGCATATTACCAATACCAACACTTTAAGTGCTTTTCAACATGCTTAAATGGTTGGAGAGAAGCAACTAGTCTATGCATGAATCATATGGGCTGGCCTGATGTTGCATAAGATACAAGTCACTAGGACATGGTGACAAAGCTAGGTCCGGTAAGGCTAGCACAAAGGGATGATCATGACCTTGCCTCAAGGAAAAGTAATTATCAGATGATACCCTAGCACACCCATATGGGTTTGCCCTTGCAGTATAAGCATAAATCAAAGAAAGAAAGAAAGAAAGAAAAAGAAAAAGAAAAGAAAAAAAAAAATCCATATAATTGTGAAGGAACTTTTCCCTCATTTGACCCTATTTTTACTAATACACAGCTATAGAGTAACCATGCACCTTTATCAAGACTGAAGGACTAAACAGAACATTCAAAGGACTTAAGCACAGTGCTCTCCCCTAAAGAAAAAACGATAATTTCTGTGCGAAGGACTCACCTTACTACTTGTAGTAACACCAGCACTAAAACCTTCATTCAGCCATTCTGTTGCCAGTTCCAAGATGTCATCTACACGATTCCAGTTGCAAAGAGCATTTACATACGTGACGTAAGATTCTTCCTTATCCTAAAACAAAGAAAGGAACATGTGGAATTATCATCCTGTTTGTATCCCACATACATAATCTATATCCATATATTTTCTTCATGTGGCAAATGCAAATCTTTACATATGTGTAAGCTTTGCTCAGATATTGAGGATATAGAAATAGCAATGAGCCCACTGTTATTTATTAAAATAGAAGAGGCTACAGAGGAGTGTAGAGAAGGTGATTATAGAAGGATAATGATTTGGTGGTGACAGTAGAAACCATGGTAGGATGTTAAACAGATGGATGAATAGCATGGAGAGAAGCAGACTGAAAGTTGGCATGAAAAGACTAAGAGGAGAGTTACAGGGAAAACACATTTAAGCAAGAGGAAGGCCTTGTGGATGATCGAGAGTGGGAGGAAACTCAGTTCTATGCTAAGATTGTAACCAATAGTACTATAAGAGATGGCCCTGGGCTAATTAAGATGAGAAAGTGAAAACAAAACTGGAGTCAAGAAAGCTGGAAAAAGGACATGGGACAGAAAGAAAGAAAAAATACTACTACAACAATTCTTCATGATAAAGTTTCTTAATGATGATAACAGCTAAGTGAGAAAAAAGGAAAGAAGCAGAAGCTGTATCTTTAGAGGTTAGAAGATATATAAATAATAATCATATGAAAAGAAAACCAACTGAATGGTAGAAGAGTATGAGGATGTATGAGAAGGAATATGAAAAGAAAAAGGAAAATAGAAAGAGAGTGCATAACACAACATACACAACTCACCTGGTCTTGCTGCAGTCCTCTTAGTCGTGACATGCAGTGGCTGACAATGGTAGGCACTAAGGCTTTAGGAAGGAAGCTGGACAGATACAGAAGAGTCTGGGATACCTCATCATTTTCCTGGACAATGAAAAGGCAATAGAAATTTTTACTATAGACAAACAATTCATCATTCCTACACAAACTTCCCAGCATTAAATCAAAATCATCACATCTGCTTTCAAAGTGCATTGAACTTTTTCAAATATACTGCATATTTCACAATCAGTGTATGAAGATGCAATTAACTTTGAAAAATGACACAAACAAACATTCAAAGTCATTTTTTAAATCTTAGTCTCATTGAAGCTTATTTCAAATAAATGTAAAATAATTTCATTTAATGTAACCATTACAAAATCTCTTACCTTGAAAGCTTTGAAGAAAAGGGGCATACTCTTGGACACCCTCGTTCGTATGGCTTCAATGTACTTCTCATTTTCTGGCTGCGCTAACCTGTGCGCATTGGTTGTCCAAATGATGACAATGGTATCAAAGAGGCCACCTATGACTGCAGGGTTGTCCAGTGGAGATGCACTATCATCAGCATTCTGCTCATCATCACTCACATCTGTTAAGACATTACAAAATTCTTTGGTCTCTGGTGATATTGGGAATGAATGCAATGACAATGTGCATCACACAACAAATGCACACTAATTCATAAGTCATCCAAATTCTACAAATGCAAGTGCAGCATGGGACTTATTTGCAATGGCATAGAAAACTATAAGTAACTAGGAGAGAAGAAAGTGAAAATAATTCCTGTAATATTAATTGCTTTTGAAAAAGGAAGAGAAGAGGAAAGAAGCAAGAAGAAAATATACAGAGAAATATCTATACATATACAATGTATATAACATAAATTCCTTTACCACAAAACCAAATCCAATGTAAATCAAGGGACACTACCCTAATCTCACCTTTCCTCTCGTCACTTTCCTTGGCAGCTGCAGAAACTGCTTTCCTCTGGCTTGGAACTGGAACACACCGATGTTAGTATACACCTTGTTATCCACAACCTTACTTAGCAACGTACTACTTAACAGCCTAAGCAACTGTTACCCAAGGCTTCCTTGCGCATGGCAAAACCAAGATACATCTTCAGCTATTGTATGCTCACAATATCAGGACTGTTTCTAATGGATACGAAAAGGGAATAGCTTTACATTTCTTTATATTCCCACTAAAATCTAGTATCACCACATTCAATAATATTTAAATGAAAATTCTGTAACCTTATGCATACCTAAGAAAATAAATAAATATTAAAATAAGTAATAACAATAACAACTGCCCTATCTACTGCCCCAGAAAATAAACATTTTAACACTTAATCATTCCAGACTCCTGTATGGGTTGTCTCATACAAACAGCTGTATGGGATTTTTGAAATGACTAGCATGATTTAAGCATGATTCAAGCAACCCACCTATAAGCACTAATCTATCTTTATATTTAAATATTCTGTAAGCTATTGTTGTAGAAACAAGATGATTTTTTCCCCTTTTCTTTTTGAACTGAGACAAATCAATATATAGAAAATAGACACATAAGCAGCTCTCAATATCTTACACTGAATTTATGCTAAAAAAGTTGGATTTCATTTTCAGTTTATCACATGCAAAATGCTTTTATACTTTTGAGCATGCAACTGACAGTTTTAGAGTAATCTAAAAGAATTAATCTGGAGGAATGATTCAGGTTTAAAAAGTAATTATGAAATTAGAACTGTATATACGGTATATATAGGACAATTATATCCTATCTAATTCTAGTTTCTACCACAAATTTCCACACCCAAAAAAAGAGAACCATTGCTTTGCTTACAACCAATATTACCTGACAAGGAAAAGGATGTTAAAAAAGGAGGGAAAGAAATCATAATTTTTATGCTGTTTACCAATGTGAATAAAAAAAAAATATATATATGTTTAGGATAAAAAGCAGCAAAGGAACAGGTTGGTAAAGGAATAAAGGCATTGAGACAGTAATTCTAATAATCTATTATGAAGCAAAGCAAAGGAATGAAATATATATGGCTTTGAATACATAAAAAGGTTATATACTAGCAAAAAGGAACAAGTTCACATCTAAACAGTCTCTATCCTACTTGAGCTACAGCGATTGTACAATACAAAAATGTGCCAAGCTGTGATGTCCCCTCCTGAATACACCTATCACCATTTTCTTCTAACTTTGCATTAAAGAGTTAAGCAGTCCTCTCAAACGTACAGGCACAGGCTAAAAGCATTAACAGCAATTCCATGCCAAACGGGCATATTCTACTTCCATGCCTTTACAATGCAAATAGCCACAAGAAAGATCCTTACCTCTATTTTCTTTGTTATCAGGTGCCACTCCTAACCCTAGCTTCAAGTTCTTTTGACTTCCTACACTGGGATTTGTTCTTTCTTCAGGATTGGTGTTACTATTTTCATGATCTAAAATAAAAGTAAGATATTCAGAATCAATTTGATAATCAAAGTGTGAATCAGGATATCTCTCCTTGTTCTCATCAGTTCCATGCAGTTCATAAAATCTTGTGACTTCCTTAAAAATCTTTCCACATATTCTTCATCTAATTCCAAAGAAGAACACAAGGTATACTTCCAACCATAAACCTTTTGTATTGAAACATCAAATACACATTCCTCCAGCGTAGCATTTCATTCATTAGTAATCAATTCAAACTGGTCTCAAGCAAAATTTCATCTAAGCATAGCAGATACCCGTGTAACTGACCTGATTCTTGCTGCCCTTCCTGAGCTTGTTGGTTGAGCAAGTAATTTCGGAGACATCGCAGTATCAGGAGCATGAAGTGTACATTGCTTGGGAGATCCAGCTTGCGGCTTGTATACTGGTAAAATCTACGTGCTGCAGCTCGATTTTCTTCAAGTAGGGCCAAGGTTCGGTGCAAGAGTTCCTTAGAAAGGTATAGCATTTATTATTTTCATACGTAATGACTATTTTCCTGTGAAGAGTCAGAAAGGCATTTTTAAATTTTAAATTCTTTTTACTCCTAGACTACATGTAAATTCAACACATGAAATACTGATACTAACCTGGTCTTCTCTTTGAATGGGATGGAAGGTGTTCAACAACAACTGAGTAATGAGTTTGCACATGACAGGTGTATCTTCCTCCAGGCGATGCAGGATGTGGTTCATTGGCACTATGTCCCAATACCTAGGTTTACATGATCATTATTCTACCTGCTTTTTTGACTTCCTACACTGGGATTTGTTCTTTCCTTCAGGATTGGTGTTACTATTTTCATGATCTAAATAAAAGTAAGATATTCAGAATCAATTTGATAATCAAAGTGTGAATCAGGATATCTCTCCTTGTTCTCATCAGTTCCATGCAGTTGATAAAATCTAGTCTTTTCCTTAAAAAATCTTTCCACATATTCTTCATCTAATTCCAAAGAACACAAGGTATACTTCCAACCATAAACCTTTTGTACTGATACATCAAATACACATTCCTCCAGCGTAGCATTTCATTCCTTAGTAATCAATTCAAACTGGTCTCAAGAAAAATTTCCTCTTAGCATAGCAGATACCCATGTAACTGACCTGATTCTTGCTGCCCTTCCTGAGCTTGTTGGTTGAGCAAGTAATTTCGGAGACATCGCAGTATCAGGAGCATGAAGTGTACATTGCTTGGGAGATCCAGCTTGCGGCTTGTATACTGGTAAAATCTACGTGCTGCAGCTCGATTTTCTTCAAGTAGGGCCAAGGTTCGGTGCAAGAGTTCCTTAGAAAAGTATAGCATTTATTATTTTCATAAGTAATGACTATTTTCCTGTGAAGAGTCAGAAAGGCATTTTTAAATTTTAAATTCTTTTTACTCCTAGACTACATGTAAATTCAACACATGAAATACTGATACTAACCTGGTCTTCTCTTTGAATGGGATGGAAGGTGTTCAACAACAACTGAGTAATGAGTTTGCACATGACAGGTGTATCTTCCTCCAGGCGATGCAGGATGTGGTTCATTGGCACTATGTCCCAATACCTAGGTTTACATGATCATTATTATTATGCATATTTATTTCCTCATTACCATTATCTCACAATATCAATTTTTTCTTGTATCATCAAAGATAGACGTAAAATTTTCCATTTTCATCACCTGATAATCTTCAGTGATTTAACCTTCAACAGCATCTTCACAAAGGTAGAACGAACATTTCCATTGATATCATCGAAGGCATCTCCAATACGAGGTAAGACTTCTTTCAAAAATGGTACAGCATCATTTGAATCTAACATGAGGATAATACCCTGTGAAAGGAAAATAACTAAATAAATAAATAATAATAATAATAATAATATCATTCTATGAGTATTACACTCTCACTCTCTTGATTATCCTAGATATAGTGGTCATTTAGAAATTTAAAAATATGAAAAAAAGCAAGGCATTCAGAAAGAACCTTCTCTTTAACTCTGGACAATAATTCTAGAAGTATGCTCAAAACAATATTTATGCTGTCTGGCATCTATCACTCACAGAACAAATAAACTACACTGACAATGACTTATGAAAGGGTCTACCAAAAATGTACCTACTGGATCCTGGTGTCTTGACCATCATATAACAAAAGAATTTAGTTGGAACACTCCATCACAGAAATATCTGACGGAGTGCTAGGGTGGTAGGAATTTGTTGTAAGAAAAATTTGGCAGAAGACCAGGGTGATGGGAATGTACCGTCCATAAACCATGACTGAAAGAGTGCCATTTCCAGGGAGGACACTATTTCCATGTTCAGGATACTCTTTCACAGTTGGACACACTTGTACAGAAAAAGAGACAGTAACATTTCAAAGGGGAGGTATGGAATCTTGACACCTTACACAAGTGTTTGTGTAGGTCAGGAATACATGCCTTACCTGATAGCTGGATTTTGGGCCATGTGCAAGCAGGACATCCTAAAAATCATCCCTCTTTATGGTAATAGGGAATCATAAAAGAAAATTAATAGTTGTACTTGCCTTGAGCACTTGTGTTCTAACTTCTGCTGATGAGGCATCATAGAGTAAATCTGACAGAAGCTTCTGGAACACTGTCTTTATGATATTCGATGGGATCATGAGCCAGTAACTGGCTAAAATCTTGGTGACACCCTATAAAAAGAAATTAATCTAAGTTAAGAGAGAGAGAGAGAGAGTGAGAGTGAGAGTGAGAGTGAGAGTGAGAGTGAGAGAGAGAGAGAGAGAGAGAGAGAGAGAGAGAGAAGAGTGAGAGAGAGAGAGAGAGAGAGAGAGAGAGAGAGAGAGAGAGAGAGAGAGAGAGAGAGAGAGAGAGAGAGAGAGAGAGAGAGAAAATCCTAAAAAATTAAGAAAAGGGGACTCTTTGGTGACTAAGCATATATGGAGCCATTTCTATATACAAAATTCACATGACAAAGCTGAAGTGGATATCACTGGCCCCAATGCTTTAAGTCAAACATAGATGATAGATAATAGAATAATCATTCACATATTCATAAATACACACACCTTTACCTATTTTCATGCACCATTATCTTCAAATACACAAGCAAATGAAACTAAAATAAACAAAAGATAAACAATTGAAAATAGTTTGTCCCACTTACTTTAATAGCTGTAATTCTCACAAGATGGCAAGGGTCAGTAAGCAAGGTGATCATGGTGTGATACTGTTTCTCTAACAGCCCTTCCCTCTCCTCTTGAGTCATGGTGTTATCCAACAGAGGGAAGGCATCACAGAGAAGTCCTGTAGCATTCATACGCACGAATCCATTGGCAGCCTGTCATGAAATGTGGAAAAGGCTTAGTCAATCAACTCTAGGTCTTCCCATAGACTTTATCCATCTCACTTAAAAGAACTATGATCACTGTTCTTAAACCATCTTGCTTACCTTGAGGGACCTCCACATGAAAGGGTCATAAAGCGTGTAGACCATTGTGGCAACAGTGTGGTGTTTCTTGTGACGATGGAAGTGGTGAAGAAAGTGATGGAGGTTGGCTGACAGCCGACCAGCCATTGGATCGACGTGTACTGCAGCATACATCAGATCTTGGATACACTCTTCCTCTAACATCTAAAACAGAAAAGCATGCATCATATGGGTATACTGAAATAGTTAGAAAAATAGACCCTTTGACATTGGGCAGCAAAACCTGGCTATAAAATTACATGCCTATACTATCTAAGAAGACAATGCAGAATAAACAGTCTGGGAAAAGTGCCCATTTTCATCAAACATGTTACATACACCTGAAGAGAGAGAGAGAGGAATAGTCTCCTACCTGCTTTACTGTACCCTGGCTATTCTTCCAACTTCGGAAATACACTTCCGCATATTTCGAGCTCTGTGCTCGTGTGCAACTTGGAAGTACAGTCTTTATGCCACGGTGCATGGGAATTATCATGGATTCCCTTGAAAATAATCCTGATAGCCATTTGATCCCCTCATCACAAGAGATAAAAAGGGTATTTGTACTGCAAGCAATCAGTTTCTCTACCAGCAAATGACATTCTGGGTCAGAAAGTGGGATGAGCTGCAGAGCATCCCTCAAAGCCCACAAACTCTGCACTTCTTTCCTCTGAAAAAGAAAGAAAAAATCATAATTCCAAATATCACATAAACCAAGTCAATAAATGGAACTAAGCACATTTAAGACCTTTAAATACATAGTGCAGATGAAACCAAGGATTCTCACCCGAGCATTCTTGCTTGATGCTGCATCCAACACAAGTGGCAAGATGTTGATTATGACATGCTCTCGCTCATCCAGCTGCTGCTTCCACCACATCTCACACAGGGCTACAATGCCATCTTGCACAGCACCCTCAAACACCATGACCATCCCATGAAGGAGTACTTGAGGAGGAAGAGTGAATTAGTAGATTAACAACTGTGACTCAAAAAGAGGGAGAGGGAGAGGGAGAGAGAGAGGGAGGGAGGGAGGGAGGGAGGGAGGGAGGGAGGGAGGGAGGGAGAGAGAGAGAGAGAGAGAGAGAGAGAGAGAGAGAGAGAGAGAGAGAGAGAGAGAGAGAGAGAGAGAGAGAGAGAGAGAGAGAGAGAAAATAATTAATAAGTAAATCAATAAATCTATTTATCAATCTATCTATCTACATATCTGCGCATATATATATATATATATATATATATATATATATATATATATATATATATATATATATATATATATATATGTAATAGTAAAAAAGAAGAAGAAGAAGAAGAAGAAGAAGAAGAAGAAGAAGAAGAAGAGAAGAGAAGAGAATTAAAAAAAAAAAGAAAAAAAGAAAAAAAGAAAAAAAGAAAAAGTAAAGAAAAGAAAATTATATATATATATATATATATATATATATATATATATATATATATATATATATATATATATATATATATATTGTACATTAATACCTCAACTTAGCTTACCTGCTACCTCTAATAATTTATCAGGTATGAAGTTTTCCTGACCCTCTAGGGAACTGATGTATATATAGGCTAAATCCAAGATAGCTGCCATTAATTTTTCATTGTATGGTTCCTTCTGTAAAGTTAAAAAAACAACCTTTCAATGATGTGATATATTATGTATGTGTACATATCCATGCATAAATGTAAGTGTGTGTGTATGATAAGGAATTCTCTAACAAGTCAAAAACAGCAATTCAAATTTGTCATAATTTATAAACACAAATTTATAATATACCAAATAAAATTATGTACCCTTACAAAGGGGGGGGGGGGGGGACATTAAGTCAATCAGATACTTCTTAAAAGATAAAATAGCATGAAACATCCTGAGAGAACGATGGGTTGTGTTTCTTTTATCTCTCTGAAGGTAATAGTTTAGCACAATGACTTATAACAACAATCATTATAATCATTATAACTGTCACACATATATATAATTACAATAGCCAGTTTGGGTGTAAATGAGATACCAGATTTCCAAGTTCCATAATCAACACTTGAGCCTAAGCACTGTACTGCACCAATCTACCACATCTATTACTATATATCTTACCTGCACAGCTTCCTCTGCATCCATGGGAACAGTCTGTCCACTGTCTAAACTATGTGTGTCAGCAACTTCTCCAGCCCCCTCTGCAGGAGTCTCCTCTACCACCATTCTCGTGAGCTGCTCATTGGTCCAGGCATAGAGGCATGACCACAGAAACTCATGCTGGGCTCGACTGAACTCAGAAAGGACTTCTTGGAGATCCACATTACTGCGTTTCTTACCCTGAATGAAAATAATTCTTCCTTCTAAATACTATATCAAATGCTCAGGTAGCAACAAAGAAAAAAGGGAAAAAGACAGTATGAAAGGATGCTAATAAAGAAAAAAGAGAAAATGATATGTAAAACATATAGAACTTACAAATATAATCAACTTAAAATATTAGGTAAAGCAAAGCAACTTACATGTCTCTGTAGGAGGCTAATGAAATCTGCAGTGTTGTTTTCCTCCAATGCTGTCAGTAACTCTTGCTTCGCCATGGTTAATGCTTAATCAACCTGATTTAAAAGATGTATATAATATATATAAAAAATTATATTGCAACTTAATTCCATGAAATACAAGAAACTACAGAACAATTCCAGATTATAACAATTATATGTTTTTTATACAGAACACTTGAACATCTCAGGACATATACATAAACACACACATACATTATATCACTCATCTTTTTTCTTTTTCAGTCTTAAATTTATGTATAGTAAATATACAGGATAAATTCTACAAAGAACCCTGTACATAAACATTTGGTGTATTTCTATCAATTTAAAAGTTACATACAAAAAAGAAAGAAAGAAAATGAATGTTCAATATACTACCGCATATTTCTACATTTACTTACACTTGTAAAATAATGGCTTTAATGAGATATCACTCAAGGAATTAAACAAAAATTTGACTTTATATCTACCCTGTTCAAGTCAGCACAATTACCAAAGATGGAAAAGACAATTCTACTAAATTCATTGGACACCAACAATGTTTGGTGGTTAGCCTCTTTATCCCCCTCTCCCCCTTTCTCTCTCATACATATAGGGGGGGAGAAGGAGAGGGAGGGAGAGAGAGAGGGGAGGAGGAGGAGGAGGAGGAGGAGGAGGAGCAGGAGGGAGAGAGTGAGGGGGAGAGAGAGAGAGAGAGAGAGAGAGAGAGAGAGAGAGAGAGAGAGAGAGAGAGAGAGAGAGAGAGAGAGAGAGAGAGAGAGAGAGAGAGTGAGAGAGTGAGAGAGTGAGAGAGTGAGAGAGAGAAAGAGAGTGAGAGAGAGAAAGAGAGTGAGAGATAGAAAGAGAGTGAGAGATAGAAAGAGAGAGAGAGAGAGAGAGAGAGAGAGAGTGAGAGAGAGAGTGAGAGAGTGAGAGAGAGAGAGAGAGAGAGAGAGAGAGAGAGAGAGAGTGAGAGAGTGAGAGTTAGAAAGAGAGAGAGAGAGAGAGAGAGAGAGAGAGAGAGAGAGAGAGAGAGAGAGAGAGAGAGAGAGAGAGAGAGAGAGAGAGAGAGAGAGAGAGAGAGAGAGAGAGAAAAGAAAGGTTTCTTTATCCAGGTTCAAAAGTATCAATGCACTGTGTGTACTAAACAGTTGGGTCAATATGTAGTACAAGGTAGTGGCAGAGTTGGGCAATGAAACCTACATGAAATGATAGAACAATACAAACCAAGACAAAGTTCTTCTATGGCAATATGTGTGCAAATGCTTCCCAAGGGTGCTATACATAAAAGAAAAGATCCCCCCCCAGTCAATATGTAGAAGAGGGTAGTGGGTTACTTTCGAAACAATTTTGATATTTTTCTGCTTGAAATCCACTGCTTTCAATGATTCTAGGCATTGTTCCTGAAGTATATAGGGAAATTATGGGGTAAAACAGTACCCACATGGTTGTTAAACAAAACGTCCTAACCCAACATCTAACCTAACCTAAGACTGTGGTATATATTCCCTAGCCAGGGGGCTCTGCCCCCGGGACCCCTGTGGTAATATATATGCCTAGCACCCTTGGGAAGCATTTGCACACATATTGCCATAGAAGAAGTTTGTCTTGGTTTGTATTGTTCTATCATTTTATGTAAGTTTTATTTCCCAACTCTGCCACTACCTTATACTACATATTGTCCAAATAATTTATACTAGTCAAGGCATAGAGTGAAGGATAAATGCATGCACTCAAGAGGCTGATTATGCATGATGCCCACTGTATGGTGTGACAAAATCCTAGCATGAATGTGTTAACAGACCCCAGTTAGGAGCACTGCAATAGGCACCTGAAGCATCTGTCTGACATCCTATTCCAACTGTAGTCACATACCATTTCCACCCCCAAATTCAGGATGTATACTCCTGATAAGTCTTGCTCACTTCAATGGATTCTTTTCAGCTTTTATGATATTCATTATATAATTTCAACTTTACTGATGTGAAGTGCAACTCCGGCTACAGAACATGACCCTAAGGAACAACTAGGGTACCTGAATACCAACATGGCCCAGACTAATTATATTGCCTCAAATATACAGTCTGCAAAAAAATAGACACACCTGCTTATAATATTCAGAGACTTCGGACACCTTTTTTGGTGGAGGTCTACAGTTCAGCGCGGAGCCAGCCGAGTCCAGATTGGTTCAGGTTGGCTGTGGCATGAGACAGCTTGAAGGTGACTGGCCGATGGCTTAAACTCCAGGTCCACCTACTCCAGAGATGCAAGAAGCTCTCCATCAAGGATATTTTAAGTGTCTCTGAATACAAGCGCAAGTCCCTACTACTCTACCGAACGATATCGTGTGCACTTCTAGAAATCCACAAATACACCCCTTGCGAACCGAAAAACTAACCGACCAGGAAATGCCGCTGGACCCCCACCCCATCACCACATGGCACTCGTCAGAGCACAGAATCCAAAGCACCACTTCTTGCGACTCTAATCAAATAAAGTTACAAATCAGGTTTATTACTGCTTACCAACAGCCTCAAACCTGCCTTCCTATCGACAAAAAACCCTTCAGATAGCAAAACGACCAGCATATCCCAATGACGCCAGGTGTACAAAAAACAAAAAAACTATACTCTAGTAAACAAAGGCGGCGCGCCGACTTTGAGAGCGTGAGTAGGGGTCAGCCCGAATCACTGGCTCGCCGCGGTGTACGGCTGCACGCCAGCTTTCGAGCGGTTTGTTTTCACGCCGATTGGCGTCACCTGGCACCAAGGGGATATCCTAAATCCAGGAGGGAAGAAGAGATAGATAGATAGATAGAGAGGGGGGATAAGGAAGGGAGGGAGATGGAGAGGGAGAGAGAGGATAGGAAGGGAGGGAGGGGGTGAGGGAGATAGAGATAGATAGATAGATAGCATATCATACTCCCATATTACATTCAGGGCAAAGAATTATATAATCAAAAATTAAACTGTTTTTTTTAAACTTACGATCCCGACCACAAAGTTGGCGACCTACACATCACAAAAACGAGATATTCATACAAAACCCTCAGAAATTAACGAATGAAAAGCGCAATTTCAAAATATTGCAAAATTTGAATTTAAAGAGAATGAAAGAAATAACCGAAAGCATTCAACAAAGCCATCGTCTTTATTCGTAGTTAATTCATACGATGGCTATATAGTTTTTAAGGGAGGTAAAATCTGAACCTTCTATCATCCGAAAACAGAAAGAAAGAAATAAAAAAAGTAATAAGAAAAATATAAAAACATTTCCCTTCCAATTGACTCTTTTTTCTCTCTCTCTCTCATCACCATCCAACTTCTAGCTCTCTCCTTTCTTCCTCTCTTTCTCGCCTCCTAACCCATGCCACGCCTTCTCACCTTTACCCCCGAATGTGCAGCAAGTATGTAGCTCTCCCACCAACCACCACGAGCTCAGGAATCAAGAAAAATCGGACGAAAACCGAAAATTCCGACCCTCGAGCTGCCTTCCGAGGGTCCGGATTTTCAAAAGTGTTGTGTTCCTGTACGCCGCCGGCTCATACTCGGAGGGACAAGTACGTCTCGCGTAGGTCTTTTAAAAAGGTTGTTGAGAATTATATCTGCTGTGAAATTATTTTTGGGGAATGTATTATAAATTGTGTATGTTTTTAAAGTATATGTATCTGGGATAAAGCTATTTGGGGAAGTGTATTATGAATTATATATAGTACGTGGTATAGTCTTTTAAACAGTCTGTTGAAAATTATATCTGTCATAAAACTATTTTGGGGAATATATTATAAATTGTGTATGTCTTTAAAGTATATGTATCTGTGATAAAATTATTTGAGGGAGTGTATTATAAATTATATATAGTACGTGGTACAGTCTGTTGAAAATTATATCAATCTGCAGTAAAACTATTTGGGGGAATGAATTATAGATTATAAATAATAAAAATATATGTATCTGAAATAAAACTATTTTGGAAAATATATTTTACAATGAAAAAAAAGTTAAAAACTTTGTTTCTCCAATAAAATAGTTTTAGTTAATAAATTTTACAATAATACTCTTATCCTAAGTGGGTTATCATTTTTTTCATATCAAGTTTCATATTAAAAAAATAATCTCTATAAAACATGTTTAATAATTTCCACACTTTTTTTAAAACTCCGGAACTGCGTTTTGAAATCTTTTATCGTTTAGTTATTCTAAATGTACCAATTGTGTACAGATAAATAAAATAAATAAATAAAACTGCATGACGGTCTTAATTTTTTAATATAAATGCAGGAGTAACATTCAGAAGGTATTTTTTTTTTTCATTTAGACCAAATAATATAAGATTAGATGCGATTATGTAAAATTAACAAATTCATGTGAAACGCAATTCAGAGTATGGTGGAATATACGAGTTAATTAATAATACGAGTTAATGGAATATACGAGTTAATTCCATGTTTATTTGGTAAATTGCGACTCAGACCCGCTGACCTGTCCCTGTGGAGAGAAGAGGAGAAAGAATGGGGAGGGAGAGAGAGAGGGGAGAAAAAAGGGCGGGGAGCTCATGAGGAACGAAGGGAGAGAAGAGGGAGGGAGAGACAAAGAGAAAGAGAAAGAGAAAAGGGAGGGAGGGAGGGAGATAGAGAGATAGATAGATAGATAGATAGATAGATAGAGAGAGAGAGAGGGAGAGACAAAGAGAAAGAGAAAAGAGAGGGAGGGAGGGAGATAGATAGATAGATAGATAGAGAGAGAGGGAGGGAGAGACAAAGAGAAAGAGAAAGAGAAAAGGGAGGGAGGGAGGGAGATAGATAGATAGATAGATAGATAGAGAGAGAGAGGGAGAGAGATAATCGTAACTCAAAGTCAACAGTTACATAATTGGAACACACTATGAGACTAGAATAATCACAATTATAGTTTAAACAAGCAAGTGAAACTACTACAGAAGAATTATCGTAAGTACAAGACAGTGCTTGCAATTAAACCCAAAGCAGGGCCATCACTGATACAAAAAATCCTGAATACATTGTAAAGACTTGTTAAACAGAATCCGAAATCACAGTAAAATCATAAATTGTAATTAAAAATAATTAAATTGTTCGCACTTCGAAGCTCGGTCCGACGTCGGATTTCGAGTCTTCGAGGCAATGAGCAGAGCAGGACGTGGACTAAGTGTTTGCTAAGGTATGTAGAAGAAATTAGAAAGGTATGTTTTGTTTCAATATATCACCACTTGATGTCTAGTATAAGCATGGTTTACGAGTTGATGAACAGGCTTGGTCGTGTTGGAATTCTTACGCGAAGAATCTTGTTCCAGATGATTTTTTTTAGGCTATTTTGGCCAATAGAGTGGTGGATTGTGTTAATTACACATTTTTATCTAATCAGCGGCATTTAAATAAATTATTCCAGTATGCGCTCAGCGGCATTTGATGAAATGATTCTAGTATGCGTGCTTGAAGGGCGTCTGTAAAATAAAAAGATAAATTCCCTTAATGATAATTACGGTTGGTTAACACTCGAAATATTTGAAGTTAATTAAGGGTAGGATCTAGAATTGCCCCCGCATTGAAATACCCACAATATACATTTTTTTTCCAGGTATAAAGAATAAAAACCACGCCATAACCATGAGTGACAGTGAAGGAAGGAGCATACTCATGGTCATATCCTTTTTGGCATTAGCCGGTGTGGCCAATGGAATGCTAGGGCTCCAATCACACATGCATTGGCTTGTTGATATGGTAAGCTGAAATCTTTTGGATTTGTTTTGATACCGTAGAAGTATACCTTTGCAATTAGGATATGCTAAAATTAACTGGTGAACTATATTCCTGATATATAGACAGTCTTCTTGCCTTCCAATGCAAGTTTTTGTTCTTACAGTCTTGCATTCTTAATTGTGAATACTTGAGTCTGTTGGTATTTCTAATTGCACATTGGAATTTTATCTACGCTGGTCGTATGCAACAAAAGCTGTTTTCAACCTAATGCTGGCAAAAATCTTCCTGCCATTAGAGTTCACGAGATTGTACGATTTCTGCTTTCACCTTTGCTTCAAACTAAGTCGTTCCAAAGCGAGGAAGGTGAACTAAGACAATACTATTCTCAGATTCATTATTATTTGTTTGGGGTGACTGGTTCTTCCAAAGCCTCTTCCATATATCAGCTCGTGACTCGAAACTCCATCTCATCCTTACCACACCCTGTCTCTCCAGTCTCCCTCCTTTGATCGTAACGAAAGATCTCTCGATGGCTCTTTTTTCTACCTCTCGTCTCGTCGCCATCTATAATCCTTTCGAATGCACATGTTTTTCTCATAATCTCATTTGTTTGGATTATTCGTGATATTTCCATCAGTCTCGAACCTCTAGCCCCCTTTAAAAATCTGATGAAAGCTATGGTCCCTGAAATATTCACATAAACACACTTTTCCATGCACTGTGTCCAAACCATGTCTCATATTCTCGTCTTAAATCGTGCAAGTATTTAATTGTCACTCAAAATATATTCTTAATATCCTTTTCCGACAGTCTCTATCCATTGTCATTTTCTGTCTTCTTCCTTGCTTGGCTGTTACTGTGTCCAAATGCCTGTTTAATTGCCAAAGTTCTCTTTCATCTGAGTGTGATATTTACTTGTCTTTCTCTAGTCCTCCCGTATCCGTTGTGTACATGTTACTCTTTTTCTGTGATTTGTTTCTTATTTCAGTGACTGTTCGTACTCTCCTTCTGTGTCTATAATTATTCGACTTATGTGTCTAAAGGTATCCCTCCTCTGAGCCTAATGTTACTCCTATTCGGTGCCTTTTGTTATTCCCCATTTGGATTTGCTGTTCATCCATTTTTGTACATTTTCTATTTACCTATAGTTACTGTCCATTATGCATTGCTTCTAGAGCTGTTGTTGCTTTTTTTCTCTGCTAATCGTTCTTCTCTTTCTGTTATTGCTCCCCCAATATACCCTATTTTACACCTCAACTGTGTTTATTGTTACTCTCTGTATTTATTTTCCTCCTCTTCTGTGTTTTCTGTCATTCTCTCTGTTTATTGTTCCTCCTTTTCTGTGTTTATCGTGTCTACATTTACATTTCTGTGCCTCGTTGTTACCCCTCTTTTGATAATGGCTTCACTGCCCTATCCTTTCTTTTTTCACTCCAGTGACTTTTGTTAACACCTCTTCTTTAACTGTTGTTACTTCCCTTCGATACCTTTTGCTAATCCTCCTCTGTGCTCTCTTTCATGTTGTTACTCCCTTTATATTGTTCCTCTTCTTTCCCTGTTATTATTTATTTTCTGTGCCTGTTGTATCTGTTCTCTGACTCGTGTTAGTCTTCTGTTGGCATCCCTCCCCTGCATTCATTTTGTTCTTGTTGCTCTTTGCTTGTGCCAGATTTTATTCCTCTTTCGGTGGCTGCTGTCACTTCTCTCCTGTACTAGTTATTACTATTCTTTTGTTCCCGTCATTGCTCCCATTTTCTGTACATGTGGTTAATCCTCATTTGTGCCTCTTTTGGTGTCTATTGTAATTCTTCTTATCTCAGTGCAGCGCCAGCTCCTATTCATTTATTTATGCGTATTGTTGTACCTCTTCTATTCATTCTTTGTCCATACCTGTTATAATCAGGTTATGAAATACAGCATTCTCCACTGTCTTACTTTGTCCTCTTTTGTCTAACCATCCCTCATAAGCACAACTGTATCTAGATGGCGTATTTTCCATGCGTTATATTATGTTTTTGCTTTCACTGGCGTCCATTTACTAACCCTAATCGCATTTGTTCAAACGCCTTTATCCTTCTTGTTGCGTGCTAAATTACAATATTTCGTATTGTATTTTAATACCTTTTTTTACGTCTTTAATTCACGTGTTGCATATCTCATAAACGGTTCATACTTCCCACAGATGGAGTCCATCATTGACAACCCATTAGCGACTGCCGGGGATGTGGACAGCTACGTGAACGAGCTCCGTGGCCTGGCAGACGTGCAGATCGCAAAGCATTTCTCAGCCACGGCCCAGCGTTATAAGAGAGGTGAGTGTGCTGTAGCTGAACGTTCGGTGTAGGTCCTGATTTGTATGATGTGGCTTGTTTTTTTTTTTTTTTTTTTTTTTTACTTTGGCCAGCTTATTATATATCCCGATTTGTATGATGTAGATGTACGTTATTTGAAGATCCTGGTTTGTATGCTGTACTGTGCGATCTTTGTAGAGCCTGATTTGCATGATGTATCTGTGCGTTCTCTGTATATTCTGACTTCAATCTTCGAGACATAAAAGTATATTCAAAACATATTTGACAGCTGTGCGTACTACATCGTAACTTCAGACTTCACTTCTAACTCGACGCTGACGTTCTACTCTTTCAGACATGGATAGGACTTCGGCCAATGTGACGGGAATAAAGGACTTTGCGTTCAACATGTCGAATCCTTCAGCGTTCAATTCCTCTCGGTTCGAAGGCGTCACGGCGTCACAGATCTTTCGAACCCAAGACAAAGACTACTGGGTGTTAGGTTATTCTGGGTAAAAAG